TCTTTGCTTGCTCTTATGGTACTGTGGCTGTTACTGTCGCCGTCTTTACTGTGAATGATTCACGTGTTCTGAGATGAACAGAAAACAATTAAAGAGGAAGGAATGAAAGTTGAACGGTTCATTGACTGGTGTGAGTAGTTTTGGAGATTGAAAATTCAGGTCATTGACCTTTGTTAGGAGATTGCTTCTGATCAAGAACAAATTTACAGCAAGGTCTTCTTATTTGATTTTATTCTGGCAATGATCGAACTTTTAAACTCATCTATGGACTCTAAGGTCAGTGGCGGCCTTGAAAGTCCAACATAACCTCAAACAAACATTAGCATGCCATCTTCTGCCATCTCAGCTGATAATCGAAAGTGAGAGTGAACAGAAAAGGTCATTCAACTGTATTAACCGGATATTCGTATATATCTGTTAAACACTATATACATACACATATATGATATTTACATTTAAGTTTATTCTTCTTCTAAACCGCATTTTCTCCAAATGATGCAAAAAATTAATTTAACAGAGTTAAAATGTCATTTCGCGGATTCTCCTCATCACATTTCAAATGAAGTTCATATTCACAAGCAAATTGCATATCAACATATGCATGTGAGTAAGTAAGTGTCACGCAACAAATCAATGGAATGCATGGGACACACCTCGAATCGAGAGTCAGAAGCATTTCATTTTCGGAAATTAATCACTAACAATTCAGGTTTACACACCTTGCAGCGGAGTATTTTTGATACTCGGACATCACTGGGCCGATATGAGTGATGATATGCGCATGCATGTATGTATATGTGTGTGTATAAGAAATGCCTCTAATTTTGTCATGCCAAACTGAGCGCAAAAGTGCACCAGTTGCCAACAGCTTAGGAAATAATTTGTTTTTTTTTTTTATTTCAAATTGCACTAAATTGACGCACACGTAACTTTCATGCTCCGTCGGCTGGAGGGGCGAAAAATCATATGATTATGTCATAATTTGCTTCAGGCGCACTGGTCCAGCGGCCGGTAGAAACGGAAGGCGGCTATTTTGTTATTTTTGTTTTTGCTCGGTGTTGGCAGGTAGCAATGAAGTCGAAAGTCAAATGCTGTGGTGAAATGAGCACATGCGTTTTTATGTGAGTGTGATTGTATGCGTATGAGTGTAGTTATTTGTACACAATATCTCGGAACTTTCGGACCACTTAGGACCGATTTACTATTAAATTGACGATTGTCACTCTCTGGAGTTGGAGCGGTGTCGCTGAGAACTACATATCAATGTTGATGAGCTAGCAACCCAATGTCCCACAAGAAACAAATCATAATAATAAAGAAGAAGAGAGTCGCTGAGAGTTCGACTTGCAGGAGCATCACTTCCGCGTTATGTGAGGACCTGCTATTGTGGTTTGATGATTCTTCTGCGATGTAATAATCGATATTAAACGCAAAACTAGAAGTTAGGTGTATGCAAAATGAATTTAATCATTTTTTAACTCAGCTCGAATCAACTAAATTTTCCTTTCTCAAAATAACGAATCTAACAATAACCATAATTTCTGAGAAACACATCACATTACATTCTTAGAAAAAAAGTAAAATACGCTCAGTGAACTTTTGAAGGTCAAACCATTTTAATCGCGCATCAATTCCTCCAAGAATAATGACCACTTAATGAGCCGTGATATACGTACATATGTGTATATGTACATATGTGTTTCTAGTTTGCATAACAAAACTTCAAAAATCCCTAATCGTCACTGCTTAGCGAACCATAGACTTTCTGTTTGGCGGTTTGAACCTAACGAAAATAAAAAAGCTCAAAACCAAGAAGAATCTGAAAATCTGAAAACCATTCCCAGCTCCATTTACCTTTTGCGCATTACGAAATCTTAATAGGAGTGAATGTAAAGGAAGACCTTAAAGAAAGCGAAAAAATCTTGTTTAAAAGGAAAGGTGAGATAATTCCATAACATCGCAGAACAACACTTTTTCTTTTCTTTTCCTCTTTTGGCTCTTGTTAGCTAATCATTTTTAGTTCCGAAAGTTCAATAAACGCATTTATTCCTACTAATGTATAACAATAACAACCACACCAAAAAATAGAAAGCCGAAAAAAGCTGAGAATTTCACAAGCACAAAGAGCAGCCATTTAGAGCCGAGTCGAACCAGCTGCGGCAGCCAGCGGGCATTCAACTATTTTTGGCAGTTTCCAGCCATTATTTGACTCGAAGCTGGCGTACAGAGAGACAGGCATTCGGCGCTAATTGTGCCGGTAGGAGCCAGTCAACGAGGCGTAGAAATAAGTTCTAGCGAAAAAAGGGAAAATAAAATATGAATTTCGCTTAGTTTGAACAATAAATATGTACGTGCTCAAGCTTGTACATATGTACGTACGCCGTTTGTATTAATTTATTTACGCAACAAAATTATACGCGCATCAAAAGTGATGTAATGCCTAAAATGGTTAAAGCTTTGTGCTCGCAAAGTTATCCAGCAGAGCCTGTATTGCACATAACTCTTATTACTTGGGTTATACTGACTTCAAATTCTTTTCAGTAATTTTCATATTTTCCAATAATAAATTTGAAAATGAGCCCATGTAGCTGTGAAATCACTGAAAACACATAAAACTGTGTTCTAAGAAATTTTGAAACACTGGAATTTATTTTTACCAAGTCGTCGGTTCTAGAGCAGAGGCTCACGGAAATATACTAACTTTGTATTAATGATTTTCGAAATTTGTTGTAAACTCATACTTATACCGCTATAGGCCGCAAGAGTAGAGATTTTTAGGAATTCTCCTTTTATCAACCGGTTTCAGCTATTTTAGAAATCTGACTAGGATGCAGTTGGTCTCATACTTATCAAACATAGCTTTCTAGTATAAATGTTCAAATTTCATTTGTTTAAACTATTTTAAAATAACAAAGGCATACACATATACATATGTACTTACATATGTATGTATGTCATGATACTACAGTAGCGCTACATTTAACAGACGGCTTGACCGTGACCATGACCATGACCATGACCATTCCATTTCCCCTTATGACAAGAACTATTATTTCAGAGAAGATTAAATCATCACTACGCATTTGGGCAACCCGTCAAAACGCTTGCTAAAGTACTCGCTTTGTCTTCCATGGAGGTTCGGACAATGAACCAAAAGGCCACGAAGCACACAAAGCTGCGAGACCGTCATCAAAAAAGCATCAGGTTGAGTAATAATCGCGCTGTCGAATTCGAAGTAATAAAAAATTATTATGCGTGTTAAAATAAGTGAAATCGTGAATTTACTTTTTCGCTTAGCCGCAATACTCTTCGTACGAACATACGCATGCGTACGCATTTTTTGTCTCCTTTCAGAGTCACTCACTTATTTCTAGTTCAACGCCCGCTCATGCGAACATGTATGTATGAGCGCATGTGCTTACTTTTAGACTCGAATTAGCATAATGAAAATTGATTTATTTCGCATTCTTTTTGGTTTTTTAAATTTGCTAGAAGAAGCGAAATTTCAAATAAACATTTTGTTATGTACATATTTACATATGTACATATGTGAGTATGTAGTCATAGACCATCATAACGCACTGTTTGTTGTCGATGGGATGATTTGTTGCGCTAATAGCATAGCGAGAGTGTTTCTTCTTCTGATTCTTTTTATGTTTGTTCTTTCGTGGCCGTGAAAGCGCCAAAATGTCGAAATAAGCCCGCCAATGACCTTCAACTTGGCAGCGCATTGCCATGTATTTGTAAATATGTAAAAGCGCGTGTTGATGTCATTATTGCCATTAATGCGAAACTAATCAAAAGTCAAATCTGATTAATGAACTTTTTTTCGAATATTAGTAATGACTGGAATTATTTAACCGAAATTGAAAAATTGGTTGTTTATTGGGGGGCCGTTTTATTTTTATTCCAGAAAATAAGTTACTTCCAAATTAACCAAGATGGGTTTAGTAGCGCTGCCGATCTGTAATATCCGCCTCAATGCTTTCTTTACAATTGGTCTACGAATCTCTCCGAATGGCTAATGGATTTTCATTAAAAGCTAGGCTTTTGTCATATCGTCTTATCAAACAGGAACCGTTCTGGACTACCGTTCCCGACTACCTTAAAATTTTAATTAATTAATATATTTGTATTCATGATATCTATCTGTCCCATTTCGACCAGATTTTCCCCTGAAATTGGCCTGAGCATAAGAAACAAAATGTATTCTAATAAGTTCGAGAAGAATCTACTAGGTCCCAGCACCAAGAAAAATGAATGAATGGCGCGATGTTACAAATTCGGTTACGCCAGTTTACTTGCTTTATTGTAAGTCTTTAAGTATTATAAATATATCTATTGTATGCTTAAAAAATTCTTTCAATCCCAACAACAAAATTTGGATATGAAGGCTTTAAAACATAGACTCAAATATGTTTATTTTTGCACATTCAAAGGTAAATATAAATTATTTTAATTAGACATTGACATAGACTTTAATATTTTGCTTGCCACAGTGGAGGGTAAAGCTATAGAACCATAATAAAAATCATCGTTGAACGCAAAAGCGCGCGCCTAAAAGTATGTTTTTCGGCAAAATGTATGTACTAATTCAGCAGAGATCGAGACCATCACAGCGGTTTGATCGTTGTACCAAAGAACGTATATAAAATTAAATATACGTTCTTTGGTATTAGGAACTCTAAAGCTGCAAAAAACAAAATTTCAGTCACACAAATAAAAGGAACATGAAACATGAATGGTGGATATAGAAAAAATTCCCTTCAAGCATTCAGACTTACCTCATCAAGGTAGAGGCGAATTTACTAATATTTGGTAGGTGTAAAATTTATTTTGAGCAGTTTTTGCTTTTGCAATAAATATTTTCGAAAATCTTCCATTAACAATTTCATTACAAATACTCATTTCCATTCCGAAAAAGTTATTTTGAATAATTTCTCCTCTTATTTTTATTTTTGTTTTTATTTTCAAAATCACCATTTCGAATATATTTCGTATTTAAAATACTAAAGTTTATTTTCTTAATATATAAATTGATAAATAATTTAACATTAATACAAGTATGAATTAAATGAGGAACTACAACTATATCACTATAAATATTTAGAGATTAGTCGAGCCTAAGGCACATCAATACTTTTCTAACAAAATAGCGATTTTCCGATACTACCACATTTACATGGCTATAAACCCCATTTTATCTTATGCAACACACACAAATTGTCCCGTTATTTATTAATCCAATAACCCTATATATCACACAACTAATGCTACACTTGGAATATAATTTTTATCTCTTAGGCCCCCGGAACCCACTACTACTACTCCTTAATGCCGTTTCAAAGCTTTTCGCTGGCGCTGATAGAACTCCTCCATTGCACGATACTCCGGCTGATAAACGTCTGGAATCTCTTTATTCAACGACTCATAGTAGACCATCTGTACCGAACATGTGCCCCTTAACTGCTCCTCGTAGCGCCGTAATTGTTGAAAGAAGCCCGTATTCGGACGTATCTGCGGACGTATGGCCTTGACGTGCAGATAGGCGGTGCGAAGTGACATTCCCGCGTATTTCATGAGATAGGCCAGGCACAGGGTGGTCGAACGACTCACGCCAGCCACGCAGTGAACCAACGACTTGCCGCCCAACTGACGCACCTCTTCAATCATATCGGCCACCTCGTCAAAGTGCACCGAGAGGTCGGAGTCAGGACGGTCGTGCACACTGATGCGCAAGTAGAGCGGCTTGGTCACACTCGACAGTGGTGTGTCTGGCAGTTCGGGCGCGACATTGATGATAAAACGCACCTGCAGTTGGTCGAGCATCATCGGCATGGCCACGCCGGCACCGCAGAGATAAAGGCTGGGCAGTAGTTGGGAGATGCCGGCGAACGGTGTGTGAGTGTGGATGGAAGCTTGTAGAGCGCTGCAAGTATAAGAAAGAGAAGCGAACAAGGGTATTGAGTTGCAGTATTGTTCAAAATAGTCAGTTTATAAAATTAAATTTCAGTGGAAATTATTTTTAAAAATTATATTTATTATGAAACGGAGTTATATTCATTCATATAGATATTTTTTCTCAACACAACCCTGTTATCGAAATATTCTTATCAATTTAAATATTTTTATTGCTGCTGCTTACGAATTGCATTCCTTTCTGCATTTCTCCCCACAAATTTTCTGCAAAATTTCTGCACAAATTCACATATTAAATGAGCCACAACATATACATATGTATGTAAGTGTATTAAAGTTGCAAAGGTATGCTTTGTTGTTCATTATGGCAGATATAAATATTTTTCAAATTTTTCAGCGAGAGCAAAAGTAAACAAATTGACGAAAATACGTGAAATATATGAGATTCATTCAATGTTGTTGTTAGTATTAATAGATTTTTCAAAAGGCAAGTTCAAGGTAGCGAAGTCTCAAAATAAGTTAAATGATGTATTATTTTAAACAATTATTGAAAATATTTCGTCTTACATAAATAGGGAACTACTCAGTTTGACAACATTAAAATATTTATGTATAAATAATATGTATGTAACGAGCTTTTCTATGAAAAAATCATTACTTTTGAAGCGCCATGTATTTCGAAATGATTCCGTAACAAATAAAATTACAAAAAATCCTTAAATTATTCCATCCCTTATACCTGTGGATTTTTCAAATTATTATTTTTTTTCTCGCCCATTGGAAAAATTATCAAAGTTAAAAAATGGAACTAATTAAAATAACGTCGATGTTTACTATTCTCTCAAGGCCGTGGGCGAGGAATTAAAAATTGTTTATACAAAATAAAATTTCAAAAATAAACGCTAAGCTCAACGCAAAAATAGAAAAAACATTCGGAAGCAACGAAAAGCAAAATCTAATAAATAAACAATGACGTCTTGGGCAGTGTGAGGAAGCTAAGGCGCGATTGAATGTTTAAATGTTTACCACAGTAGCCTATGACGTGGTAATGTACTAATGTGTGTATAATAATTAATTAAATTGATTAGGAAAAACAAAAGAATGAGCACTGAAAACAAAATAGTATTTGGAATTTATTTGTGTGCTGGAATTTTTCTTGGCTCATAAAAATAACACAAACTCGGTATGCACGCCATGCTGATGAGCTTTAAATAAACAATACTAGAGCGTAATTGGAAGGTGGAAATTTAAAATTGAAACTTTCAAAATAAAAATATTATGAAATCGTTCGAGATTTATTTTCCTTCCTTCTCATGATATTACTACACTTTATGAATTATCTTCTGTCGGCGGCAATAGAATTGTGGGAATTTTTATTGTTTACGCGTCTGTTTTTCACTTTTTTACTTTTCGCGCCTCTCTGGCTTGCGAAAAACTTTTGAATGAATTTCTATTTTTACTTTTTACTGTATTTTCTGGTATTTTGTCATTTATTTTTTAATATCTTCACTATAATTTTTGCTGACGTCATCGAGTTTTTTGTTTTCACCCTGTTTTTGCTCGAAAATAAACCAATAATCCATCATCAATGGAACCAATCAGGCGTCATAAAATAAAAATAAATATATCAGGGATACATACGAGCTCACATATATACCCACTGCAGACATGATTTATCAATATGTACTTATCATATGAATGTATGTACATTTGTCTCATTTTTTATTTTTATGTTCACGAAAATTCACTGTTTTGCTGTCAGGAACAAGTAGCTTTTTTCAATAGAGTTTTTTGTTTTTAAAGCATTTCTTATTTAATTTAGGAGGAAATGTTAAATTAGGCTGAGCGTCTGTCTAGTGGTGATAAACAAAATAGTTTTTTATTATTTACTACTTAAGGCAAGCCTGAACTATTTTCAAACTCGACAGAGCTTACGTCAATAACGCGCCCATCCAAATATAATATATTTGTTAAGGAAGGAAAACTTGAGAAGAGCGCTAATTTTAGAATTAACAAGATAAAAAAAATTCCCGTAACGATTTTACAATCGTTTAGATTATTCAAAGCTAGCCTAAATAAAATTTTCTTTCAGCAGGAAAAAATAGATTTTTAGTGCAAAGTGAAGCCACCATTTGCCTGCTTGAAGCCCCTCGATACTCAATTGTGTTTGTCAGAACTCCTTCAGCGTTGGATTGATTTTTATAATATGCCAAAACAAACTCTAAATTATAAAAAAGTATTGAGGAAAAAGTTAAAATTTGTGTTCAAAATGCACGAGAAATCCCGAACAAAACTCGAGCTCTATTATCCATCTAGTGAGCGGCGGGTTCAGCGGCCGCCAATGTACTCATACTTACTGAATAACTTGTTATTGGAAGAAAGTGCATTTGACCTTCGCCTTAATACTCTGTTTACTGATAAACCAAAATATTTTATAGCAACAAAAATTAAAATTACATATTGATTGGCGCATTTCTGTGAACCAATTACACCTCCGCGCCGAGGTTCGTTAGCCTCCAGTTAATAAAAAAGAATAATGGGCGTAATTTTGCAACACGAAAAACAGCGAAACGGTAAACAACCTAATCGAGTTGGCAATAAAAGAAATTGTGATAAATTTGGTTGAATTTTGTTTTTGCCGCCAAACAATTTAATTGGAAAATACAGCAACAATAGTAAATAGAAATATTAAATCCAAGAAAAAAGAAAATAACAAAAGGAATTTAATTGCATTAAAAGTCAATGCAGCAAAGCAGCGGTCATTAGTGCCAAATACACAAATACACAAATACGCAGACACACACACACCTACATCAAATTGTATTTTTTCTGCAACAAAAAAGATATATTTATTTGCAAATACAGCAAACAACAAGTGAAAAACATTCAAATGTGCATAATTACGTCGTTGTTGGTACGAGTATGTCTTGCGCTGGCAGCGAATATTAAGCGCGAAATTCCTTTGGCTGGTGGCCAAATTTAATCATCGCAACACTTTCACTAGGCGACAACGAATGATGACAGCTACAATAACAACAATCGGCGGGAAAAACAAATGTCATAATATCTTTATTATTATTGTAATAAAAAAAAAACAGTTACATTGGAACAATTTAGATGTTTTCATATTTTTTCAAATTTTATTATTTCAACGATGAATTCCATTTATTTTACGCACGAAATTTCGCTTGTTGACAGCAACAAAACATAAGAAAGAACAATGGGCGACTATGAAAATTACACAAATATTCCATGTATGTAAATATTTATTTTGATATATAAATACATAATATGAGCAGTTGCAGTTTCATTCGAATTTTTAATATTTAAAAAGATCTTTTGCAAATGGAATTTCCCAAATAAGTATATTTTCTATACTGTTCTGTGCGCGAAGTAAACCATTAATAAAAATATATTTTCATTACCACTTTTTCATTTCTTTATCATTTTTTTTATCGAATAAAATGACTAAGGAAGAATTAATGATTTTCTGAAATAAGGTTAAGGCTGTTAACGCAAAATTTATTGACAGAAAATAAGCGCGTGATGAAAATAGGGGAAATAAAATCTGATATCCACCTTTACTCATATGAAAATACAGTTGTGTATATAAAATTGTGAGTCAAAATGCATTCCAAGTGTGTCTAAAATTTTCATTTCCCTATACATTTAGAACACAAAGAATAAATTAATAATATTTAATTGAAACTTTTCTAGTTCCTAAAAGTTATGTTTTTCATTTTCTTAGAAAAAACCGTTCTGTTTTACTGATCGCATTTGTTCGATCTAACTTAAACAACCGGCATTGTTGTGAAAAGTATTCACCTTACATTTTATATTGGCGAATTGTAAACAAGTTTAAAGAATATTATAATACATTTCATTAATACAAACGAAAACTGCCAATTTCCGCAACGCCACTGTATGTCAACGATGCCCATGACATAATAAAACAAATTGCTCAAACGAGCTATCAACAAATTATTCGCATTCTTTTCATTTTGAAAATTTGTATTTTTTATTTTCTATTCATATTATAATTTAATTTTATTTTTAAATTAGAAAACTCAATTTACGCGGTGGCGGTCACGTCTTACTAAAGGATGCAAATATCTAACAACAGATTAACATAATTCCTAACTCCTCTTAACGGTAAGGCAATTCGAATTAAGTGAAACAGAATTATTTATCTAATCCTTATCAGCCTAGTTAATATTAAAATGCTGCTGTATTTGAAAATGAAAATAATTATTGGCAGTCTCAACAAGGAAAAGGCCCCTCTAAATATCCTGAAATAGCGCCGTTTACAAACATTATTTTCACGCTGATTCATTTACCCAAATATTAATTTTTTTTTTTGCAAGTCAACGTGAACATGTCATTAGGGCCATTTTTCACACCTGAAATTTCCAATTTTTCTGACAAAAACATCTGAGCCACGCACATTGTAGTTCTTAAATTTACTCGCAAGACAACAGCGCAGAAATCTCTTGTAATTAATGAAATTTTAATGAGCGATTTTCACTGACAAGGTCAAAGAAATAAGTGTTTTCAGACATTTTTGCACGAGAGGAAATATATTATTTTAAACTATAGTGTTTTGCTTCATCGCTAAATAAAATTTTTCGCACTTAGAGGCTTTTCGGTTTTGACATTGCAATTTCTGTCCAATTTACTTTTAATTTCTATGAATTTTCTCTGCCATAGTCAAGGTTGTCAGTCGCATACGCCCTCTTCCACATGACGAACAACAACATTGACATTCAAAATCTAAAGAATTTTGTGTAATTTTTTATTTTCCACTCTTCAATTTTCGCTTTTCGATGAAAACTAAAATCAATATTTTTTCGCTCAGAACAAGGCATGCAGATGGCAATGATTTTTTAGTTTCTATGGCGCCACATATTCGATTATGTTTCTTCAACAATATTAGAAACCAATTTTGAATACGAGTTGCTGGGACTTTTTCATACAGTAGGGAAGAGAATGGTATAAATTTTGCATGATTTTTTTCATTCAGATGCGAATTTCGGCCGAGCTCCTCTAACTATTTGTGTTGAGCATCTTAATTATTTTTCAAAAACTGGAATTTTTGCAGTTTATACTAAGCTGTCTACAAACGGCTGAAGGATTTTAATGAGGAAATTTTATTTCGAGTTGGAAATACTTGTGGAGGCGTTGACACTGCCAGGGCTCGAACCCTATTTATTACTTACTAAAAAATAAAAGTACTTTCGCTTAAATTCTTTCGTTTTTGACCATTTCAAAATATTCGCCTATTGCCGCCCACAATCTTTTTTGTTAATATCACTGGCCGGCAGTAATGTAACGGTAACGGAATAAAAGCAGACAACCCTAAAGTTGCGAAAAGTTATATCTATATTTTATTTATTTATTTTTTTTTCAAAACTAAAAATAACAAATTTTTGAAAAATATTTCCTCGCATTTTTTAACAAATTTTCGCCAGTAACAACACTACAGCAACTAAAAGCATATATTCATAAACATACCTACATTTTTATATTTTATATTCACATACATATCTATCATATGTATATTCTTCAAAATACTGACACACTTTCTTCATCACTATAATTGATGTTGTCATAATTGTCGTTGCCTATTTTTCACCTCAGCAATTTGAAACGCATAGGCAAAACAGCTGCAATAGCAACAACTACAATAACAGCAATAACAAGAACGCCAACACCGAAGTAAGGAGCCGTAAAAGTTGCGCTCTTCGTGGAATTCTAATAGGCCAAAGAAATGAATGCACGTTTGGTGTGTTTTCGGTTGGAATTGGTGCAGATAAATATACAATGTGCAACGTGCAACAAATGGCTATATGCTATATGTGTACCTCTGTAGAATTATGCACATGGCAAAATGATTTCTTGAAAATATTCAGAATATTGAACAGTGACTGACTGATGCAGATGAAAATGGTGTCATAAGTCGGCTGAACGAGCTTTTAAACATTTCATAAATTGATTGTGTTTATTTCAAACAAGATACTTTGAACTTAATCGGTCGGCAAAAGTGCGCTTCCACCAGTTCAATTAATTTTTCAGTGAATATTTATCATTTTACTTGCCAAATACAATTTCTTTGTCAAAATTTTCTCCCACTTCCCTATTTCTCTTCGTCAGTTTTTCTCCTCTCTTTCACACTTTTATCATTCACATCTAACTTCATCATATAACGCGCTGTCAAAATTTAAAATTCCATTTGCTCAACGTTGACGCCCCATTAATGTGGGATGTCCCATACAAATTGCATGGCCATGAGGATTATTGACAGTTTCTTTGGCGCTCAACACTCCAATTTAGGGATAGCAGAGAGGGCGAGAATGATTTCAGCATTTCTAAAATTTATGAAACCTAAGATTTCAAGCTACCCAGATGAGTGCTACTAAAACAGCGTCCTAAGTACGGGTGCAGGCAAATAACAACATACAAAAAATAGTCTCATATATTTTACTTCATTTTGATTTTTTTAGTTGTTTTATATTACTTTATTTTTGTATATTATTTTATTTTGTTTCACTACTATTATTTATTTTTTATTTTTGCTGCGGGTTTTAGCATGCTCAAGGAATGCACTTAAAAGCGATAATTGTATGTTTTTACGGTCACCCTAATGCTAATACATTTGCAGTTAAGTACTTGGCAATTAGTGGCTTGCATTCAATTTCCGTTTCTCGCCACACGATAGTGATAAAATTGCCGCTTCATGTGACATACATACATATACACTCTTAATTAGTATAATTTAAATCACACGGGCGTATTTAAGGCCCGCCTTCTAAGTCACATGAAAGAGAGAGCATTTGTAAATTTCTGCAAAGACTATAGTAATTATTACCAATAACCGACTTCTGATTAAATTTATATATATTTCTAAACATGTTACCATCCATCTTATTTACTTCCTAACAGAAAAGTATTTTCGACGTCAATATTTCATCTTTTATTTTCATTTATAATCACAACTTAATATAAAATTAAAATTACGTAATTCAGCTCCCTCTTCTGGCTGGGGGAATTTAATTTTCAACCTTTCTAGTGGTTCACGGACTCGGACTCATACTCATGGAGTCGTTGGGCTCGCGTGATGGCTGGCATTAAAAGTTATTGTTTTCATTTTTTTTTTGTTTTTGCTAAAACTGTCTCGCGTTATAGTATGACGCCATTTGGCCTTGACAGCGAATTTACTGGAGCGTCGCAAAAGCGTTAGTAAAACAGCAAAGCTTACAATATACTCGTGTATTGAGGTAGTCGCGCTCATTCCCACACCTACGAGCCGGCAAAGTAATGTGCAAGGGTAAATGGAAATACCGGTCGTATTATACACGAAAACATATGTGCGTGTTGGTGTTTTGGCGCCACTAAGCTGTAAATTAGATTGGCATATGCAATAGCACTTTTGTGGAAAATGTTAATCTATTTATGCCCTTCATCTAAGCAAGAATTGACGTTTTCGCGCTCTACACTTATGGTGTGAACCATATCGTGCTTTTCTCACCTCCTCATGTTTTGTGTTAGTTTTCGGCCTTTCAGAGCTAAGTTGTTTCATTGGTAATAATGTCAGAGTCTTCCACAGGTGCCCTCTGGTGCCAGCTATAAGACGTACATACATACACATACACATGTATGTCTGAAATATCACATCACAATTGCTAGGGAATCCTTTTCAAACTACCATACAAGGTCATCGTAAATTAGTACCAAACATTGGATACTCAGCTGATATTTATATTATATTCATGTGTCGGTCAAAAATAGAAGGCTCGTTATATGGGAGGTAAGTCTGTATTTGGACTTATATTCCCATTAAGAGTAGTATACCTAACTGAAATATTCGGACTTGAATGAAGCGGGGTGGAAAGTATAAAGTCGGTTATATTTAACAAAGGCATAGTTGTTTCTCGATCGAGCTAATATGTACTTCGTATTCATTCTAGATACCTGGAATTAAGAGCATCAAATTTTATTGTATTCTTGTAAGTAGCTTCTGAGAGGTATTATTGGTGATGACATCCTTCCAAACAAATTAACGCGGTGTTATCTTCAAAATTACCGTTAAATAGAAAGAAATATGTGAGCCAAGTCGACTTATCTCGCCATTCCATGAATTAATGCTACGAAGCAAAGCAATATACATATGTACATACATACATACTATTTATGCGTTGAAAAACATATTTTCTTTAAAATCAAATGTCTTCCGTGAGTCTCTTATGCAACAACCCTGTTTATATTTTTCTTTCTATAGATTACGGCTATAGTTATCAGAAATGCTACAACACGTTACGTTACATACAAATAAACTATATATTTATATAAAAAACTCAACTACACCTTCACGTATAATTTCTCTCATAATTATGATAAGATAACCAGCGGTATCAACTTTCTGTCCTGAATTATCGTTTTTAAAGAAAAGATTTCTTATCAAACAAAAAAATGCAAAGTGGAATAACTATATACTCGTAAAAATTGCCATTGTGTTACGCTTTTCGCTTAATAATAAGAGTATTCATTGGACTAAAGTGGAGTTTTTTTCTTTAAGGGAGCTCATATGAACCGACTTTGCTGTGTATGGTTAACCAGGTAAGCTTGTACAATGGCCACTAACTAAAAAAGTAACAACAACAAAGCATTATATTAAACGGATTTTATTGGCGATGATTATAACCCAATTTCTTCTTCTCAATAGCAAAATAAATTAATTAATTGATTAATTTTTTTTTTTCATTATAAAATTTTGCAAAAATTTGGAGGGAAGGTGGAGTTCTTACCTTTCCACTGCTATTCTGTCGTTCAAGTCAGTCTTCGCATTGTTATTGTTGTTGCCATCAGTGTCAATTCTTGGTTTACTTTGAACTTGCAGTTCTTCACTATTCTGTTTACTACTATTATTTGATAGGTTGTTGGCGCCAGCAATGTTGGCTGCTTGCAACAAGTTTTGTATTTCATCGACGATTTTCAGCCTACCGTCCACTGATTCCGAGAGTGACTTGGGTAATTTTTGTTCCGGAAATAAAACTTGCATTTTCGATGTTTAATTTGGTTTTCGGCTTTTCGAAGGCAGTACAGATCTTAAATGATTTATGTCTTTTTTTGATATTATTTTTTAATTATATTGTTTTTTCTTCGTTAGTGTGATTTATTGCTTAACGACAAATTTCACAAATTCCAATGATAAAAATAACTTCATTCACATCTCATCAACTTTATCTCACAAACAGAAAGGAATTTTATATTATTTCCTTTTTTTCAAGAACAGTTTTTAAACTAAATTATGGTTCCTAAAATTCGCAGAACTCAAGCATTTTTTGCAATTCGCTTTGAAATAAAATGTTTTAGTTCGGTTGTGCAAAGGAATTTCGCACAACTTTTACTGTCGCTGTCTTGCTGTTGACTGAATGTGCGCTTCTGTATGGCGGAGCATAAAATCGACTTTTTTACCTCAGCAAACACTCGCATTCATTCATCCGCCAAACAACAACGCTTGCTGCTTTGTTGCCAATGGTGGTGGTGGTGAATTCTTCTTCTAGCTTGCTCACAATTGTAACACCAACCGTTTGTGGTGAATAACAGCAATCACCATTGTCATCACAGAGGCAATTTCACCAGCGGCACGCGGCATGTGCTCCCTCCCAAACATGTTCATATGCAGATTAATACAGCTGGGACGCGCAATGAATCAGCTGCGTTGGTATGCAAAGGTGGGCAAATGGCGTTGTTTTATTTTCGGCCAGGCAAGTGAATGTGTGGTGGTGTGGTTGTGCCACACACAAAACTCACCACATATTTTGCGTGCCAGCAACCACCCACTTAACGGCACTTTGTGTTCGGGTACTTAGTATGTGCGTACTCGTATGTAAGGCGTGAATTCTCGTATGCTTTTCGCTTTGACTTTTTCCTTTTGTTATTTTTGTTAGCAACATTTGTACGATATTGACATGGCTTTGTTAGAGTGCTCAAATTTTCACACACTCAACAAAGTACAGTGCAATGCTTTTCCGCCACAGCGTTGTCGGGTGAGCGACGCTTTTCAGGTGTGCTGCTCTTCTTCTTCCTCCACTTCAAAATATACGGGTTTCATGTGGGGATTTTGTTGCCAAAAAATTTCTGCTGGCTATTTTTCAAAAGAATATTACATATGTACGTTGCCTTAGGCATTTATGCCTATGCGCTTATGATGCATTCGTATATATGTATTTATGAGCAAAATAAAAGAAATTGTATGCATTTTTTACACGCTTAATTGCATTTTCGTTTTATGATTAAATCAACATATGGGTATGTATATCTAAAAATAGAGGTGGTCATTACATACACATTTTCATACTAATTTAATACAAAAAGCAATTGGAAATGTTTATTAGTAACGATTTTTTTTCGATTTTGACGTACAATAATAAGCTTACACATTACAAGACCGTATACATCCATATACATATACATACAAGCAGCTGTTAGACCTATACAACAAAACAAATATCGCACTCTAGAATGCCACTGAAGTATTTTTTAAGTCGTCCGGATAGCCTTAGCCCTCTTTAATGATAATGAAGCTTCGTTCTCCTTCCGCGACACGCCTGCAATCAGTTTTGACTGCCTTTCAAGCCGTTGTATAGGCCTTTAGTATTTCTTATTTTCGATAACACAACTGCAGAGCCATTTTTGATCAATTTTTAAGAGGGGAAACGGTTATTTAGCTTTTAAACGTCAAAGTGATTGAAGAAGACTCATTTGGTGATCTTTATTTAAAACTCATCAAAATCGTACAAACATTTATTTATTTTCAAACTACTCAGCGCTTTTTTAGTATTCACCGTTGCTTTTCCCCACACTTGCCAAATTATGTCATCCAAATGTGTTTGAAACACTCAGACAGAACTTCAATCGATTACCGCATTATCAGACAATAAAAAAAACAAAAGAATTCGTATTCTAAACTGTACCACAAAGGTCGCCAAATTAATCTGAGTTGCGTATTTATAGCTGATTCTTCGACTGCAGCCAAAGAGAAAAAATCCTTTTTACAAAAATAACCCAGCGAGTAGTCAATTGACACAAACACAAATAGCAAATGGCCAAATAATGTGGGTTTGGCATGTGCGGAATGCCGCCAGCAGCGTATAGAAGGTCGGCAAACTGTGTCAATGACTAAAGGGCATTTTTTTCAATATTTTACGCGATTATTTAGGACAAAATAAAAATATTGTTTTTTGAATACCTTAAATACATTTTAGAAAAAAAAGAAGAATAAAATAAATATTTTTACATTTGAACAAAACTATCCCACTGTGCGGCTTCAAAAGAAAATTCTTTGAAACGAAATTATAATATATATTTTTTTAAATGCTGTACTATGCTTATATATGTATTGTAATTGCTAAAATGTGCCACAGCAGCAGATGCATTTAGTTTCTGTTCTTCACGATGTTTTTGTTTGTTCCGAAAATCTAAAAAAAATATTTTTCAAAATCAATTACATTATCTTTCACATCTCTTCACACTGAGTTCAAAAATAAATTTATTTTCCCACGGGCCCCAGGAAAGCGTTGGGTGCAATTGTCTAATTGCTATGAGCCCACCTTCTGTTGCGCGATCACTTCACTCAAATTTGATTGTCCAAGTAAAAGCCGGGACAATTTGCTTCCCAACAACAAATCAAATTCAAATATATATATGTATGTATTTATATGAATATTCTTCTTTTTACGTTACCAAATGGCAAATATAATTTGACATGGACGAAAAAAACAGTGTTGCCAATGCTTTCTCAAACAATGTTACCAGTGCGATAGAATACCAAATTCAATTGGTATGTTAAGAAAACTTCGTTTCCCTTGTTCCCTACGAACTTAAGAACCGTTAAATGAATGTTACTCCGCTAGGTGGCGCATGGGTTGAGGCATTCAGATATAAAAGAATGATAAGCTAGGTGAGGCAACTGTAAACGGTAAACACTTTCACACTTTTTAATTGATCGATCTCGGTTATTCAGATGTGTTCAGAAATAATTTAATGAAAATATATACGTAAAGTTGAGTATCACATCCTACCTTACATCGTTATAAATTGGAAAAGTAAATGTCCTTGGAGGTTTCAGTGAATCTTTTCTTCTCGTGTGACGCGTGGCATTTCGAAAGCTCCCTCTGTTCTATTAATATCAACCAATATAACATTAACTTAGAAGGTCATAAAGCCAATATTCATTTATTTTTTATTTATATTATTTATTTTTAGATCATCCACATACATATATACAAGTACGTATATTTATTACGCTTTCAGTATAAATCAGCGTTCCACACAGATATTGATTTAATAAGCGCCAACTGTTGCATCCTCTACTTTGTTGTCTGTACATATCATTCTACAAGGCATAACAGCAGCAACAGTCAGTGCTGAGTGCACTTGCGACACCACAAACTGACAGCATTCCGGGTGACACCCATTAGTCGCCTCATTTTCATGCATTTGGGAATTATAATGTGAACGAAAAAACTGAAAAAAGCAACAATTTAGCAGCAAAACGCAAATGTGTGACTGGCGCTAAACTTTGCTGCGACACTTTCCGTGTGAGTGACACACTTCAGAAAGTTTTTTTTACGCAGCCTGTCTCTGTCGTTCTGTCTTTGTGTGTGTGCGTGTACGTGTGTGCATGCAGTTGCATATCTACTGGCCACATGTGCTTGCAACGCATCTGTTGTTGACAGTGCAAACCGCTCAGTGGCAGCTGGCGCCAGCAGCATGATTTACTGCGAGTCGTAGACGGTCGCGGTGGGGATGGGTATGCAGTGGTAGTGGTGAGTGATGAGTGATGAGTGATGGTTATTCTATTTTTGTTCGCCGTAACTGTCAATTACACTTATAATGTTCCACTCACTGACAACACAATTTTGACGCAATTTTTTTTTTTGAATTTTTTAAAAAGAGCTTCCTTTGATTAGCGCCGCACTTGGTTAGCGGGGTCAGTACCGTAGGTAATTTCAAATTTATAGCCCAGAACAAATTTCAACGAGTGTAGAAAATAATATAAACGTTCATGACTAAATTAGGCTTTTAAATTCAATTATGTGGGAGCCGCTTGCTAGGGGCTAAAGGACTAGTTGGAGTTCCGCCTCAGATTTCCTTGTAAAATCAGTTGGACATAACTCTTGGAACGGAAATCGGTTTGGAGCTTGAAAGCATTTCATGTTTATCGGTCTAGCATTCGAGTATGTGAATTTAAAATACATATCTGATGAAATATTTTTAAAAATAACATACAAAAAGTAAACAAAAAAATTTCCTTCAATAAATCTCAACCTTTACATATTTATTATTACCATAGAGTCCCTCAAATCAACCCACGTAAATCGAAAAGTATGGAAGACAAATAAATAAATTACAATATTACAATGTGCGATTCCATTTTGCTACAGCAAGAGCCCCAGTGAATGTGAACACCCTTCAATACCCACATCACCTACGCCTCCACCAGCGATGTCCTTTGGCATGTCTAGATGTTCCAATTCATTTTCTGCTGATGATCTGTGCAACGGTACCTCAGCAGTGCTTCGCTCATTTTACAATGGAATTCCAAAAATTTGCCAATTAATTTCAATAAAATTACGTTTCGTTGTTGCTGTTGCTGTTGCTGTTGCTCTTACAATTTGGCCGAGTGCCAAAAATATCTGTGGATACGCAATGAATTGTTTTGGGCATAAACATTTTATTTATGTGTACGAGTGCGTATATTTTATGTTGTTGATACACGGTTCTGTTTTTCCATTTTCATATATATATATAAATATATATATATATATATGTTAGTTTCTGGGTAGGTTTGTAAATAAGAACTCTTTTTGGTTTGGCTTTCGCACGGCATTTTCACGCCAACCCAACTGAGTGTATTGGCCTTTGTTGTTGTTTTGGTATTTTTATGGACTTCATGTCTGCTTTGTTGTTGCTCTTTCGTTTTGTTTGTCTTTGTTTCCGTTAAATATTAGGTATAAAGAATTTAGGCAATAATTTTACATTTTATCTATCTTTGGTGGTGTTTAAGAGCCAAATGTTTTCTGTTGCTTGAAAACTAACTTTATGGGCTCCAGAAATATCTTTGGGTTTTAGTTTAAAGGAATGTATGCATAGGTAACGCAAAACGACTTCGGTGCAGTAAGGTAAATTGGTCTGATCGTCCTTCACGTTTTAGAGCACAAATATTTTTTATTACTATATGACTCTTTCCAGCGAATGCACAGCAGAAGTCAACTTTTGCATTTTCCTTCGTTAGGGTTTTTAAAATAATTTTTATTTAGGAAACAAATTGGAACAAATTTGAAATAATTTCCATCTGGGTCGTTTTATTAAACAGAAAATTTATGATCGTTGCATAGTTTTAGGCGCCCGAATCTAGCGTATATTATTTCGGCTAGATATTATTTGACTAAAAAAAACAACAAAACCCTTACCATGTTTATATATGTATATTTAAATATGTATGAATATTTTTAAAAGTCAATCACAAATGAATAGTTCATTTACCGTAATACTTATACTTAATTACACACATACTTGTACTAGCTACGCCAACCTTAATATTCTTTTGTTCTTAAAACATCAGGATAATTTTTCTAGGGAATTATATTCGTAGCGGTCTACGTTGCCAAAGCGCTATATCACAACTTCTTTGCTTATATGTACACGTATACTGTAGATAGGTATGTGGGTATGTAAACCCCGTAAACCCTTTCACGCACCCGCTTAGTATGCTACTATTGCTCTTTCAGCTCAGCAGCGTCGTTCACATAGCCCTCCTTGCCGGCGCCATTTGTCATCAACGCTCGTTGTCGCTCCTCGATCTCTGCCGCCTTTTGTTCCGGCGTCTTGGCCCATTCTTGCAGTTCGCCTGAAGCCCAGAACCAATAGGTGACACAACCAATGAGGTAGATTCCGGCAGAGATGAAGAAGACCGTTTGCCATTCCTCCGCAGTTTGATTGGTGACCAAATACCCTGTCAACATGGGACTGACAATGCCGGGTATGGTGGCAAAGGTGTTGCCAATGCCCATTAGCACACTAGCGTGTTGGGGAGCAATATCAAGATGGTTAACACTAGAAGGAAAAAGTGTATCGGTGTTCGTTTCACAAGTGAAAAATCATTTCGAAAATAACACGGTTCTTACGCAAAACCCGACCACGCGAAAGCCCCCAAGCCAACAGCTATCGTGATACACACCACAGACCATGTCGGGTCTAATAAGTAGGCTGTCAATATCATAAATGTTGTCTGTGCGAGGAAAGCACTGCAGTTGAAGTAGCGGCGCACCTGAGATGTCGTCAAAATTTTCTTCACTTGCAGCCAATCGGCCAAATATCCAGAGACGCCGAGGAGTATGCCCATAGCAAGATACGGAACCGCAGAGAGGAAACCAGTCTTATCCAAATTGAAATTTAGTGTATCTGCAAAAAGAGAGAGCAACACAATTTGAATTCAAAAGCTGGGCTGAAGGAAACGAAAACTACTCATACAAACCTTTCAAAAATGTCGGCAGCTGTGTTAGCAGCGTATAGAAACCCCAGTTTTCGGAGAAGTGTGATGCAATAATCGCATAAAATGGCTTCGAAGTGAAGATCTCCTTCCATGGATGTTTGACTTCATGACTACCGGTGAAGCCTATCTTCTTCTGTATGTACTCCCTTTCATCGTCCGAACAGAAACGATCACGATCTGGTCCCGACCGCACAATCGCTATCCATAGAACGAACCAAATCAAGCCAATGGTGCCGAAAACATAGAAGACACTCTCCCAGCCATAAGCAGAAGCTAGGAGACCGGATGAGGGCATTGCGATAACGGTACCTGCGTAGTTGCCAGCGAACGCAATGGAAGCCATGCGCGAACGCTCCAGAGGCGGTGACCAGCGAGACCACACGGCATGTATGCAGGGGAAAGTGACGCCCTGCAATAATGAATATATAAAAAAGCGAAGAAAAATCCGAAATTTAGTTAATTTGAAGACTTTAAAGTAATTTAAATACGAATTACCTCAAAAACACCTTCAACTATACGCACAGCAAGGAACATCTCCAAACTATGCTTCGCCGCCATTGGAGTGAGTAGTGTGAGCAGAGCTGTTGTACCGATACCCACGCCGAAGACCTGAAACCAAAGCGTCATTCTTTCACCGACATATCTGAGCTCTCTTCCTCTCTCCTACTTACAATATTACCGCCAATTTTAGCGCCAATGAAACCGCCAATAAACTGCGTCGTTATGTAACCATAGAAGAATGAACTCAATATGAGACCTCTCTGCTTTGAATCCCAAGGAAAGTCTTGTTCATATGAAACATTGCCAGCATCATCGATCACAGTACGGTTCTCTGTCATAGCCACGATGGCCACACTGAGGTTAACGCGCAGTGAGTAGACATTGAAGAAACCGAGGAATGCCAGCAAGACTACAACATAGCGACGTTTCTTCCAAAATTTCCAGGACAGGGGTTCGGCTTCGACAATTTCAGTGCTATTGAAAGAGAAAGCATTTTATCAGGAATATAACTGGATGAGGAGTATGATAATTTTTGTTTTACTTGTATTTCGCGCCCTCTATCGATTAAATCTATACGTATGCTGTTTCAAAATATCAAATAAAAACCATACTTTATTGATTTCAGTAAATTACCACAAATATTTAGAACGAAAAAGCGGAGCATGAAGTGAGTAAATATTTTGCAATTTGTTTGTCAGTTGTTTATTGGCATTTGTGGTGAGTGCAATGGCAGGGGTGTTGAGTGTTGTGGGAGGCGCGCCGGCATACCGAACCAGCGGGTTTAATCAGCTGCAACGGCATTCAAGGCCGACTGCCTACCACACGCTACAATGGCATTCTTTCCAAATGCATGCCCATATGTATGTGCGTATGTATGTATGTATGTAACCCTATACACATGTACTTGTGTGTAAGTGCTTCCAGGTTCTTGACTAAGAGTCAGCAGTTCAGTGAGGCTTTTGCTTCCAACTTTCGCTTTCTTTCGAACGGTCGTGGAGGGGACTGTAAAATTGGCTGCATTTGGCTTAGGTTTTGTTAACCGGTTTTTAATCGCACGTTCTACTATTTTATGAGTGAAGCAGTTATATTTACATTGGTACACACAAATATTTGTGCATATGTGTAAACCTAAATTGTTTGTTGCGTTCAAATATTTCCTTTGTCTGTGGAATATCGATCTATTTTACAAAAACAAATCTTGAAATAAAGTTTACAGTAGATCGTTTGCTAAACTCGTTCGGACAAAATGCCAAACCAATAGAAAGCTCGATCAAAGTAAACGTGAAAACTCTATTTCGAGTTGGAACTGTTAGATATCCAATTTTGAGAAGATAATTTTGGAAAAAAATTTAGAAAATAGATATAAGCTTTAAGTTCTCTGTTTTTAACAGAATATGCCAACATTCTGCGAAATATATATCTATAGATTCATTACATCACAAACGAGATAAATAACAAGATTTGTTAGTTCAAAAATAATAAAAAAATTTTAGATACATTTTAAAAGTTTAGAAAAGGAAAATTTAACTGATGCACCCAAACTTTTCATTCATAATTTTCAAAACCGATTCCTGGACATTTGTATGAGGTCAGTAGATTTATGAAAAAATGGTATTTATACCATATAAAATTTATGGTAATTAATTTTGGAGTTAAAAATTAATTTTCATAACTCTCGATACCAGATGTCCTTTTGACATATTTTGGAGGCAAAACCTCTGATTTAAGCATATTTACTGTACGGGGACCATATAATATAATCCTCCAATTTCGATGGTCTTATACGGTAATATTTAATGGCAAGCTTATGACCCGAAATCATAAATCTGAGAAATCGGTCGTGCCTTGGTTGAAACATCTCAGACTGACAGACTGAGGAACTTGCCTAAGTCAACTCAACTCGTCAATCTGATCATATCGGTATAAATTTCAATTGGTCCATCACATCTATTACAAGCCATTTTATATGAATATGCCGAGCAGCATTATATATTGATCAATATCATACACCAGTGTGCATATGCACATACATCTACATATCTACCGCATCAGTTATCGCTTATACATTAGACATGCGGATTACCAAACGGGCTGGTCATTTCAGAAGGCTGTCCGTAGTGAATTGGTACTCTTGTCAAACAACTTTTAAATCTCAAAGAGTTGCGGTATTCGTGTATGCAAATGTTAGGAAATACACCAATCTTTACGAGGGCAAAGTGGTAGAGTAGGAAATTAGATAAATAATAAAATATAAAAATATTACCGTTATTATTGTGAATTATATTTTCGTATTATATAAAATCTTGCAATCTGTGTAAGCGTAAGCTTATTACTTACTACAGTGTATTGAGAAAATTGTTCATATGTACGTGTATGTATGTTCAGCTAATACTTACGGATCATGATGCGCTATCTCCATTTTATGTCCATTGAACTTTTCGCTTTTTGCAGCATCCTCCATGCTGACTTATTTCGCTTTCTGTTATATCAAAAATTTATTTCCGATAAATAAATAAACAAACGCGTTGTAAAACTGAAACTGTGAATGATTTGGCTTTCTCTTAGTTGTAATAGTCCCGTTGACTTAGGTGTATGGCCCTTAATGACTCATATGCACAGCATTTTCTGTAATTAAGAAATACTTGTTGCGAATGAAAAAAGTAAATATTACAAGCACTCCATTTGATTGCCGAATCAACAGTTGAAAATAATTAGACTTTTTCTACAAATAACTTTTTAGCGCAGCTGCTTTCAGGCAACCACAAAGGAAAATTGATTGAAATTTGAAGGCACTTATTTGCGATAACCGATAAGCGTTTGCCTGTGCGACCACACAGAAAGGAAGGCAATTGAAGAGTTAAACAAACTTGAAGTCCCTCTTACATTTGCGCGCTCTTCCCATAAAGCGGTTCACTTGTGAATAAAACTAATAAAAAGCAAAAACATTCAAATTAATAAATTTGGTATTTTCTTATGAATTTATCTTATTCATTATGATAGCAAAACAACTGAGATTAAATTTTATTTCAGCCAAAATAATCAGATCTTTGTGCGGCCCCTTCTTATCTTGACTCTGCTCTCTATCAACCCTTTATTACTAAGCTTATACCCGTACGGCGGCCGCGGTAGCCGAGTGGTTAGCACTGCGCACTGCCAATTGAAAGGCCCAGGTTCAAGTCCTGGTGTAGTATTTACTAACATCCACAAATGTTACAGAAAATAAATTTCACAAAAAAATTAAGCTAAATTTTATAATTGGCGTCGCCTCTAGGCAGGGATTGTCAACCCATCCGAGTGTGTTTCTGACATGAAATAAAGGCTCTTCATAAAACCATCAGCCGTTCGGAGGCGGCTTAGTATAAACTGTAGGCTCCTGCATTTGTTGGAAAAACTTAGCTCGGCCAAAAATCACTTCAGCTGTTAAAAAGCGCCTATTATATATGTGCATGCGCAAGTCTGCACAGTTGAGTAAGCGATTTCGATTATCAAATCTCGGAATTTTGTGCCGAAAAATTTCCTCCCGCCCATTGTTTATGAAAAACTAATAAAAGGAATTAAAGAACAAACTCAAATATAAAAATTAAAAATTCGCATGTCTTTAGAAATTATAAAATTGTTATTGACATTTCGCTGGCGAATCACACAATTGTATCGTATTTGCATAGATAAAAAGTAGCAGTAATGATGATGAGCGGCGATTACGCGACTGAAAATAAGCAAATAGTTTACTTTACTATTCTATACACACATACAAGCACATGCAACACATACTCGCACGGCTAGTAAATTATTTTATTAGTGGTTCAGTTGTAAAAAAAAAAAGTACAACAATGATAAAACTTCGAATTGCCAATGAAAGTAATGCATGCACACACAGACGGCTATATACGTGTAAGTAGAGAATTTTGTTCATGCAAATGATTGCATAATCTCCACTTAATCCATTTTCCAACCTCCAAGTCTTTTTGTATTTTGCATGCAAGGCAAACAAATTAAAAAGCAAGCTCACGCAAGCAACAACTAAACGACGGGATGTAGTCGTAAGAAGAAATCTTGATGTGTCATGCTCGATGGAGTGATTTTTAAATTTTAGTAGATAGAATTTGGAAAACACTTGAGGACGTGTCAGCAAGCTCGATTAAGACAACATCTGACAGAGAACCTGAATTAGTCAAGCGGCTCTTTGATCCCAGGTCCCCAACGCAGAGAGCACTCTGATCTGCTTGCAAAACAGTTACTATGCGAAGGTGAATTTTTAGCTTCTGCTATGTAATTGCAGAATTGTTGGTAAATTGGCAATAGTTGCTGTTGCTGCTTAAATGAACAAAAAGTGGCATTAATAAAGCAACAAAAAGCTTTTCGAAGTTTAGTGGAATGTTAACGCCTCAAATAATTTCCACATTTTACTCAAGTTTATCGCTAAATCTAAAGTACCGTTGAGTTCTGGTTCTCATTGAATGTTGTCGAGCAATTTTTATGATAGTTATGAATTCCCAATTGAACTGTAATAAAAACAATCTTATCGAGTTATTAACCGTCAGAGGTTGAACGCAAATTTATGGGCAACAAATTAATCTGTCGATTATGGTCAAATAATTAAGAGCACAATTAAACTTGTTCAGCATAAATATTTTTGAAATGAAAAACATAAATTATGACGGTATTGGTATTAGGGTAATTATGTTTATGTAAGTGTTTACCCATTTGTTTACATTTTACTAATTACTTATTTGAATCTGCCACATCATCGCGGGTTAAAGTTGGTTGTGCGGAATAAATGGATTTGCCGATTTTGTTACTTTATTTTAAATTTCTGTGAATTATTAAAAAAAAATTGAGTAAGCTCAAGCTTAATGACTTTTGGCACGAGTTTTAAGAATTTAATTTTTGTTTGACAAACGTTTTTTTTTGCATGCAAACAAATTAATTTCAATACGCACACAACCTGGCATTTACGTGTAAATGATATACTAGGAATATCAACAACTGCAGCCGATTGCAGGTGAAAATTAATAAGAAATAATTATAAAAACGAAAGTTTTCAATAAATTTTATATGAAATTTGGTGATAAAAGTGAATATTTTTAAGGTTTTTGCCAACTTATATTTTATCATCTGATTTTCTTTTATTTTATTTTAATTTATTTTGTTCTGTTTTTGCAACATATTTTGAAATGTATCTTCAAAATTCTTACAAGACCACATTTGCATACTTAATCCGCCCGTACTCGCATATATATGTATATATGCATATCACTTTAAACACTATTTAGATTTAAAATTCGGTTTGAAATAAATTCCATACTTCACTTGAAGCTATTTCCTTTGTCTTGTTGGCGTTCCAAAATCGTAGTTGAAATCAGTGCACCTACACACAGCGCAGTGTGGTGAAGTGGAGCCGGATCAAAAGCGAGCTACTTGTAATGGGATAGACAAATGGTCGCGATCGTTTTTGCGAGAAAATACCAAACCACCGAAACACGTTTGTCGCGGCTCAGCTGTGCAAGTGCACTGACTGCTGGACTGCTGAAAAGCCAGCTTGCCGTCAGACGAGCTACGCTCATGAAACACATATGTATACACATATGTGCATATGTCTGTGCGCAGGTATGAAATTAATATGTAAGTAGCGTGTCTAAAAGCCACAGGCATTTCAAGCTGAACAAGCTTTGCAGCGAATACTCAAACACACATTCATACCAACAATTTCCCCAAAAATTGTTTCATAGCTGGAGGTTTGCGTTGCGCGCTATCCCGAGCGTCAGTCTCAGTTACTTTAATAAATAAATAAAGTTTGAGTTTGTTTTAATTTGAAATTCCGTGTGCATTTACTCTCTTACCAGTAGTCCCAGTCGATTGCGTTGATATCTGTTTAACAATTCCAAATCTTCGGATAAAAGCGTCTTGAACTATTGCCTTCCAACTTTCTTTTCGCGCTATTTCTTGTTTACATGCTTTGGACACGAGTTCCTCTCAGTTTTCCATTTCATTTATAGATCAACAAATGCACTGGCGGAAATAAGCATTTCTAACTGGTTTTATAATCGGCTATAAAGCGCAAATAGAGTTTGTACTGACGTTTGGCTTATCAGAATTCAATCGCGACGTGATCTCACACACATATATACGGATTTACGATATGTAAATGCTGCTCTAAGAACACCCCTAGTGTGAGCCTTATCATAACCTAAACAGCAGTCTGCCTTCATTCATTCACATACTTGTTTGTATGTATGTATGCTTGATGTCGACGGCGGCCGCAGTAGCCGAGTGGTTAGCATTGCGTACTGCCTTTCGGAGGGCTCGGGTTCAAGTCCTAGTGTGGTACTGACATCCAGAAATTTGTTGAAAATTAATTTAAATAAAAAATTAAGTTCAATTTTCTAATTTCGGTCGCAACTCGGCAGGGAATGCCAACCCCTCCCAGTGTATTTCTGACATGAAAGTCAAAAGCTCCTCCTAAAAAAAGCTGCTGATGCTTTTCAGTGGCTCCTGTAGGTCCCTCCATTTGTTGGGGAAACCATCAAGACGCTAAACCTCAAATTGGAGGAGAAGCTCGGCAGAAAACCGCTTCAGCGCTTTTAAGGCACCAATTATATGTATTGTATATATATATGTATGCTTGGCGATTGTTTATAGCTTAAGTTCATGATCATATAGATAAATACACACACGCATATATATCGTTCGCAAGAGTGAAAGTGTATTTTGATCAAATAACTGCACTCGTAAGTGATTAAAATGTTATGTGTGCATGCTAAGTGTGTATGTAAATATATGTGCACCCCCGCAGTGTTTTTGCTATTGTCAAATATCTTTATGAGGCAACAGGGGGTAATTATTGACGTGTGGCAGCTTGTAAAATTTATATTTTTCTAAAGATAAGATCCAACGAATCATTCCGATATGAAAAGCCTAAATTAGGTGCACAGGAATGCCAGCAAAATGCTCCTTAGGAATTAACTTTTGCAAGTTATGCTTTTAGTTCTAACCATCGAGTCCATTAGCCTGTATCTATTGCTAGTTTTTCTCCAGATATAAAATGAGCTGGCCGCACGCTTCTGTGACTTTATGTTTTGTATTTTGCCCGACTTTCCTTTCAAGTTTATAATTTATGCAGAACTAATTTGCTTAAAATGCCAAATACTAGATAAAAATGTCATGCACATGTCGTCGCATTGAATGCTCTAAATTTCAGGAATTACTTACTTTGAGCAAACAGTTTTTTGCTCTTTGCTGCACTCCATAGTTTTTCTGAGTCTTCGCTCACCCGTCATTCTTAGATATTTTTTTACTATTCCCATCGTTTGCATTGATCGGCTTGGTTATTATTAAAACAGAGGAGGGAGTATAATGAAGACATCGGCAGAACAATTGCCTAATTGAGCATTCCTAACCTATAAATATTTTCATGACGCCATTAACTTGTATGGACTTCAAAAAACTTGATCCCCTGTGTCATTCTTTAAAAAATTAAAAATGAAAATGACATAAAAAATATTCAACTTTTCAAAGAGGAAAAAAGTAGATAAAAATTTGCCTTTTGCATTTTTTTTTTCATTTCCAAGATACCAAGCAATATTTCCCCGAAATAAAAAAAAGAAAGAAAATGTCTCAGACTCCGACAGCTGACGTGGAGAAACGTGCAACTGAAATGCACTACTTATCCTATTCAGAGCCCGAACCGGAACCAGAACCGCCGCCACCACCGCCTAAAAAAAAGAAGAAGAAATTGAGCAAAGCTCAGAAGAGGGAGTTGCGCTTGCAGCGAGAAATTGCGTTCAAAAAGTTGGAAATAACTGTATGTAAATTTAGAAAATTTTTGAATTGTGACTGTTCATGATCTGTGGGAACAAAATTTTCTCCAGGAACATCTTAAGCGCGAACTCGAGTTATCTAAGCGTTCGGCAAAGCGTGGCAGAGAAGATTGGGAGCAAATATGTCGCGAAATAAAAATGCAAGAGCTGAAAACAGAAGTAACGGTTAGTTTGGTGGCGAACAATTTCGCGTGCAACTCTAAAGCTTAATTTTTTACATTTTCTGCTTTCACTAAGGAATGGGCAAAAAAGACCCAACGTGTGATGGAGCAAAAGGATGAGAAGGTTCAAAATCTGCTGGCAGACATCGAGTCTACGCAAGAAATGCACAAGAGAAATTTTGAACGCCATCTGCAGGTGTTGGATTTTGCCATAAGTAAGCGTCCTTCATTGAGACTAGATCAAACCAGATGTATTTCCCTTTCCCACAGACTGCTACAACACTCTCATCGAAGTCTCCAAACAACTATACGAATCGCAAGCTCAACAAGTCATCGAGGAGTTCAAAGACGAACTGAACTCTCGCAAGGAGATCGAGGACGGCTTTCGGCTCAATTGTGAGAATATCATGCATGCGACTAACCTTGTAGTGGAGCATCAAATGCTAACCGACTACGAGATCTTCATTGAAAAACAGGATGACGTGGTGAACAGTGAAATCGAGAAACGTTTTGTCATACGCGATGCGGTCATAGCGAAAATGAAGTTACTACATAAACAACTTATAGACTTTATCAATTCTTTGGTGAATGTCTCGTTGGACACCAAGAAGTACGAACACATACACATGTTGATGGAACGGCAGCGCAATTTCGTTTCTGAGTCGGGACGTTTGAACGACATTGAGTTCAAATTGACGCGCACTGCTGGTGATTTACAACGGGACTTGGTGCACAATGAAGTGGAGGCGCAGCGGCGTCTTTCTGACTTGCGTCTGGAACAGGAATATTTCTTGCAGGTGCGCAAGAGCATCGAAAAGAGCATAAATTATGATCGGAATGTGACTTTTGAGAAACTGCAAACGCTCTCGGGCGAATGCTATGGCATGCTGAAGGTACATAATTCAATGCATTTGCCATTCAAATTAAATCTTGATTTCTGCCCCGTTCAAGCAGGATTATCAAAAACTCTTGAAATATGGCGAACTCTTGCTTTCCAATGCGGCCAATTGCCGAAAACTGCAAACAGAAGCCGAGAAGGTTGAGGCGCCCAAGGATGAAGGAGAGTCCGCCGCAGAAGAATTATCTTTCCAATTGGAGGCTCTGAATTTAAAATCGCATGCGGATATGTCTGAAGTTGTAAGTTTTCATCTGCCATTTTTTACACTTTAAATAGAAACAGAAGCTTTGATTGTTTTATGAAACATCGCCGAAACAAAAATGCATTCATTTTTAAAAATTTGAAAATTGTAAAAGCTCTTTTGGTTAAAAAATAAAATTCAGAGATTTTAGCTCCTTTATTTCTTCTTCATTACAGGAACTTGCTAAACAAATGGCCTTAATGAAGAACTTTTGGCATCGCCAAGCACTCGCGTCTACACAGAATCTGCTCCTGGCGAGGGAGAAACGCGAGCTTTTGGAAGAGAATCAAAAATATAAAGATTTCATAAAGCTGATGAGCAAACGCGAGAATATTGATGACATGCTAAAGACCTTTACTGTAACTCCCCTGCTGGCTGCAAAAGATCGGAACTGTTTGGAAAACACACTTTTTCAGAATTGAAATTCCCGACTTCATTTTACCAAAATTTTACACAAAATGTACATAGTCACGGCATATTTTGGAAAGATATTTCGAAAATATATTGTATAGCAATTATTTTTCAAACATAAATTAGCTTCTAATTTTATTCATTGCGTGTTTAACCGCCATTTTTACGGCCTCGGATCGTAGTTTAGTACATCGAATGTAAGAATTTTGTAAAAAGACACCGACCATTCTTTATCATTTCCATCATTAGTTTCATTCTCCCCATTTTGTGTGTAATCGCGTCGAAAACGCATGAAAATCTCGGCGAATACAATACGGTGTGGCACCGAAAGTACCTCGACGGGCGTGCGCAGGTCCGTGTCCAGTTTACGCAGCACATCATTGATCTCTACCAACTCTTCGGGTGAGTCGAAGTCCTTGGTATTTCGCATGCCCACGAATAACATATCTACGAAGCAATAGCGGCGCCCTAAATCGGTAAGAGCATGCAAATATTTTTTTTAATTATGAAAAATGGAGAAATGGATTAAATTGAATTTTATTCCTACCAAAATTTTTTCGGGTCGCCACTTTCATCGGGATCGCCTTTCGTATGTGCTCCGTGTCGAATTTTACCAATTTTAGGCGTGAGTCGTTCCGTGAGAGCAACATGTCACGCGTGATTTGCTGAAAGCCAACAGGGGTGGTGAATTGACTGATTCCTCCGGTGTCCTGGCTGCGTATGATATCAGTGATTACAATGGCAGCCTCGAAAATGAGTAAATAACATTAATACTGGAAAAGCTGCATATGTACAATAGATGTAAAATGATCAAATTCTATTTTAGCAAACGAGTCAAAGAGGAAACAGAAGGAAAGAATTTACTGCTGCACTTTTAACAGGGTTTGGTAAGCAATAATCGTCGACTTAGCTCATCATAACAGTTTCCACTAACAAAAATTGGAGGAGCTAGCCTAAACCAGGTTTTCAACCCATTACATACCGTAAGATATCCTCTACAGCGATTGGGTAACGGTACATAATAAAAGTCATTGTGAAGCCATATCATATCGGTATTAATATCAACTCAACTCTCATCTTCCAACTCATGTGGCAAGTAATTCACCACGAAGGTGTGTGTCCATGCTTATTGGGATAAGAAAGGCTGTTTCTTCCTATTCTGTTCTCGAACCGACAGTTTGGCAGCTAAGTGAATGGAATGGTTTTGAGATAGCAGTAGAGTCGATATACAATATGTGGCCAAGAGAATCAAAGTTATGACTTTAAGCTTGAGTTTCAGCGTTTTGCATATTTGAGAAACCAGAGCCTTCAGACAATTGGCTGGTTTCAACAGATTGAAGTCCCATAAGAGTGAAAATGTTTATATATAAATGTTCACCTGCGTTGATCCACGAACGAATTCCTTCTCGGTGAATTGGCGATCCCAAAATAAACGAAGTCGCAAAAAATTCCATTTTGTCACAATATATTTCCACGGATTATGCAGGTATATTAGTTTCGGTATAGTTTTTCGTTGCTCATTATTGCGATTGAAATTATTTTGCCAATTATCTGTATAAAAACGGCAGCCAACCGCACGAAGGCCAAAAGCTTTCATTAAAGCTAGAGCATTCTTGGTCAGATGTTGCTTTCTCGGCGTTTGGAAAGCATGAAAGTAGTGACGTGTGGGACACCGCAAGCCAGAGAAGGTTAAACCGAAATTAACTGCAGCTCGTTTTGCCAAAAAATTACAATCCAAAAACACTAATAATTTTGTTGTCATTTTCTAAGGAATTTGTTTTATTATTTTTTTATTTCACTTTTATTTGAAGTGAATTAAAATTTTTTGATTTTTTTTCTCCACACATTTTCTGGATTGACTAATAAGCAATAGGCGATTGAGTAGAAATTTAGGGTGTTGGAAGCGGGTTGGACTGCGCTTCAGTACTTAATTTATTATCTCTAATAAAAGTTCCATGTCCATTGGAAAAAACAGAAGACTTAAAACGCAAACTTGGCGTGGGGTATGCCTTGCACAGAACCGACAAGTTAGCCAAAGTGGCTGCGTTCATCTCAACGCGCCACACAATGTGAGAACCAACCAATACAGAGTCAATGGAAAAAGGAATGAAATGAAAAGGACAGAAATTATTGCTTTTAACAAAGAGTCAAACATAAAAAGTGGCGGTGACTGAGCTCCAAGTGCACAAGCGTAAAAGCAAGTTCTGTAACCAGTTTCTGTGAGAAATGAAAGAAGGATTTACGTTGTTGTATTATTATGGCTGGCTTTTTGTTCTCAATTCCTTTTTGCATTCTTATTTGGTTTTGTTTATGCATTTACTTTTTCGGTGCCTTTAGGCTCTGTTGCCACTTTATCACTATAATCAAAACGAAATGAAAAACTAAGCTTGTATGTATGTACATACATGAGTACAAGTGTGGCTGGTATTCCAGTTAAAAGTTTGTGTTTCGTTATTTCAGCCAGTCCAAAGCGATCGTCTGGAGATTTTTTCGCGTCCTTTTAACTCTTAATTTTTTGTTATTTGCAGTTCTTGCCTTCATTGTATTTTTTGGTTTTTGTTTTTCGAAGTATTTGCGGGCATTGAGCGCGCTTGCATGAACGTGGCGCTGGCGGGCAAGGAGCATCCTCTTTTGCACGCTGTCAGTTTCGAGTTGGACACAGTCGTGATGATGGTTAATATAACATGTTTGTGTGTGTGGGCTTGGATCTGTCTAGGAAGCCCAGCATGAAATGCGCTTCTAATAAACTGGTTAACTGGTTAAGGAGACACATAAAGAAGAAATCCGAAATCCTACCTCATTTACATAAACTTAAATTTAAAATTGGTTCCGAAAACTCTGAGCTTTTACTGAAAGCAAAAAACGTCTGCGTCTGCGGAGTCCCCGCTCTGAAAAATTTTAATTTAGTCCTCTTACACAATTTGGAGTCATCAGCCCGCTCGCGGTCATGACTGGCCTTTAAAAATTGCCGAATGTTCGGTATTGATTGTGCACTATATATATTTATATACTATATACACATTTAGCCAGTGGCTCAATGCAGGCGAACAAATCTATTTCAAGCGAAACGTGCAATTCATTCGAGTTGGAATGCAATAAAAAGTGCAATATCTAAAGCCAATAAAACCCCAATCCACCTACAGCAAACACAGAAGAGCACAAGAACCGATGAGTTGCTGCAAGAGACGTAAGCTTGTAGCATGCAACAAGTTTAACGCATTTACAAGTACTTGAAATTCACACATTTACACACACAAATGAGCCTGCTTGTAGCTGCGCGCAGTGAAGGAGGCCCGCGGCTATTTGAAATAAATGGGCGTTGCGTTATCTACGCGCTCACGAGGAGCTCGAGGAGCCATTTGAGTCCTGTCTGTGTGGCAAACGAGTTCTTACTAAAAGTGCAAGCAAAAAGAATGAAGAAGAAAAGAAAGATTTGAAGGTCTTAATCCGGCATGTATACATCTGGAAATCTGAAGTAAATAACCAGCCCCAGAGTGTACCAAAGCTAACTTTCGATTGCATTTTGAAGGCAAAAACTTTACTATAAACTTTTAATTTTTTGTGGGTTTTCTCGTAAAATTCATCGTTATAAATTTCATTGGGCTCGTGCTGAACAAACTTTGAATTGCACGACCCTTTAAGATCTTTGTGTAACGACTTTAATACACATTTCCTCAACATTGATTCCTCTGACTCGCTTTTCTGTATCAAAAACTACTTACTGAGTGATTAAATAATTCAATTGATTCCCTCTTCTTTTCCCCATGCAATTTCATAGCAGCTGATGAAGAAATCTGTAGCTGCTTAGTGTAACCGCAACCTTCCGCGATCGGTTTTGGATTTAGGGCAGTCCGGACTGTTACTGGTTTTCGGTCAGAGGTCTGTTGGATTTTTCGATTTCCCTCAGACGCGTCCCCGGTCGGTTGGGCGGGAGGTGGGTAACGTTGGGTTCGTCGTCAAAAAAAAAAATTGGTTAGCCTTCAGGATCTCAAGAAAAATTTTTAAGTTATATAACATTTGTAATTTGCGCTTTGTAACCGCTGAAGCGATTTTCTGCTGAGCTCTTCCTCCAATTAGTGGTTTTGCGTCTTGATCGTTTTCCAACAAATGGAGGAGCTTACAGTTTAAACTAAGCCGCCTCTGAACGGCTGATGGTTTTTTTATGAGGAGCATTTTTTCATGTCTGAGAAACACTCGGAGGGGCCGATATTTAAGTGATATTTATATGTATATTTATTTTGATGAAAAAATTTAAGAGAGAAAACTGTTCCAGAGATCACCACATCAGATCATCAGAGTTGATCGCTTAAAATGGTTTACTCGACAAACAGCTATCAGCGCAGTAGCATTTTATGTTCCACTTATTTTCGCCATTTTGAGGGTGTTTTGAGTGAAAACTAAAACATTAAGGGCGGTTCTCACGTATTTAACAGAAAAGTTTCGCTAATTTAATGAAAGAGTTAAAATCAGTTATTAAATAATAGGTGAATAAAAACGAGACTCATTGTGACTTGGACAGCGACAATGACACACATACATATATATTATTCGCGCTTTAGTGACTTTAAACCGGGCTTCCCCTCCAGCTCCGGGTGTGACTTAATATATGGCTCCCAACGGCTGATATTTCTCCTTTCTCTCTAAAACTGGAAAGGAGGAGATAAAGAGGGATTCTATGAATTATGGTATCCAAAAGATTACTTCACCTTCTAAATTTTAGATTAGCTCCAAGCACTTCATACATATGAGTGTTCAGATCCTCAATCCACACTATGATACAGTCAACTTGTCAATATTCCGTCAGCTTTCGCATACTCTCGTCTTTGCTTTTCCAAGCGGTTGTTTCCTTCGCGGAGGTAGCATGGAACCGAACCACCTGACCATAAATTTCCATTTTCCATAAATTGCCTATTCTAAAATATCCCTTGACATGCCTAATTGAGTTCTAAGATCCGCACTGAGTTGTTTCATAAAGAGAAACACATGCACATAATACAACAGCAGACATGTCTGCTCCCTTCTTATTCTAATTCTACACATACATTCATAGCTACATTCATACATACGTCCAAGTACGTGTCTGCATTTGACTACCCTTGAAAATTTTATTTTTTTTAGAATAATTTGCCTTATTCGCAACCTTCGTAGTAACATCGCTCCTCTACTTAGCAAGCGAAGGGTGGAACAAGCTAGCGCAGCATACACTTACCTTTTTACACCCACGCACCTCAAAAAGCGTTCCATCCATCTAACCACCGAAACGCCAAACTTCGACTGCCTCAACGCACATCAGCAGCTCGCTTCGGGCATCAAAATCACTCCAAATGTGTTTACGATGGAACACGTAAAAGCAACAACGACAAATCGTACACAACAAACAGCTGCTACAGCCGCAGTTGCCATAACAACAACCACCCTTTGGTGTGATAAATAACTAGGAAAAAAATCAGGAACAACAATGCCATGCTCCCTAAAGAAGAACAGTGAAATCAAGTTGGAAATTCTATGTGGCGCTACCGCGATGAGACATGACTGACTAAGCTGACAGCACTGCCACCCCACAGCAACGGCAGGCAAGATAACAACAATTGGTAAGTTTGAACAGAGGCCGGTCGTGATGAAGAATGAAATGAAAGAAATCAAAATAAAAGCAGCTGATGAGCACGACAAACACCGGCTACGCATCCAAACAAACACCGGGCAAGCCAGCCGACGAACACACTCTCACTTGCACGTGAGTAGAGAAAACACAGGCGCGTCATTGCGAAAATCAGCTGAACAGCAATCGACAACAGGAAAACCACCTAAAAGCAAAACAAAGCAAATGTTGAATGAATGTTGGGAGTGCAAAGAGAGCCCACAGCTGCAACCGGGAGAGCATTGAGTTAAATGTGGGCTATGTATTCGTCAGTTCATTTTCCGCTCTTCATTTCTCTGCAACTCTACATACATACAACATACATATTTGCATGTGCTTCTGATAGTCGAACTTTTTTTTTTTTTTTCATGAATAAATTTTGTGAGCGGGAAGGTCTTAGTACTTTTAACACGCAGCTCTTCACGTTAAGCTTACTCGCTTGAAGCCTCCGGAAAGGTTATGAGTTTTAAAGCTAGAATGAAAAGATCTCTAATGATGGATACCAAGAACTGCTTGTGGGTATTTATTTTAATGTTTGTTTAAAGCGAAGAATTTTTTATCAATCTTGTCGGATTTGCAAACTTAGTGCGAGGATGGCTTGATCACTAATCTATCCTGCTCTTGGGTACTCATATTAAGCTGGTCCATAAGGTCACCCAAAGTCCGGCTCAAAAGAGATTCAATATTAAAACAGGAGGCTCATAAAACTAAAATGAGATCCTTCTGTCTTCTTTCCACAGCGGAAATTACAAAATTCTTTCTTACATTTTCTTTAATCATCGTCAGCGTTTGGCGAGCCTGACTGTCACTAAGATTCTCGCGTTTAACAAAAGAAATAAGCTCGCAGAAAATCGCAGCCACAGTTACCATCCACAGTTCATTCGAACTCGTAATGCGGTCGTCGTCGGTTGCTCGGCTGCTCGCGCTGCGACGCCGGCGTTAGCCTGCAGTTTACTGCACTGCACTTGTGCATACAATGATTGCGTTCGCAGCGAGCAGTTGGAATTCGTTGTCGATGCGTTGCGGATGTTAAAAGCGGTAGTTGTGCATGCGAATATTCAAAGCAGATGTGCTTTTTTCATATATTAGTATGCATTCATGCATTGGTGCGTGTTAATGTAGTTGTTGTTAAGCCGGCGTATGGGCAACGGTTATTGTGCTAAATTTGCATAACTCGGTGTATTTGAATCTCGAAAAAGTTAACCAAACGAAAATGAAAACTGGCAAATTTTTAATATTTTGTTTACGACACCAAAAATTATGAATTTTAAATTTTGCCAAGCCTCAGAAGCCGAAAATTGGCCGTGCACATTGGTTATTGCTTCAGTGTGCTGTTGTTCCGGTCAGTGATTTGCATCGGTGTCGCCAATTCATTTAAGAGATTTGCGAGTATATATGCGTGTTGTTGCGAATAACCCAAAATAATGAAAAAAAAACTAATTTTCATAGGTTTTGAAACAAGAAAATTATTTATTTGTAATTTTGCATTAGACACGTCGATTAACACTGGTATTTGGCTAAAAAAAAACGCCGCCTTGAGACTTAATCAATGTCAATATACGTATTGTTTTAAGGATTAAAATGGAAAATATGGGAAATTTTCCAAAATATAATTGAGGCATATTTTCTATTTATTTATGTGTTGCTGAAATGTAATATGGCCGATGCGTTTTATTTCCGTCTATTTACCTGTTAAAAAATTTCGAGGAAATAGTGTGAAAAGAACGTTCAACAATTTTCACAAAACAATAATAGGTCCACTCACACACGCACATTTTAATCCATTAAATGCTTGGAATCATGATCAAAGCGTGTGAGCAAAACCTACCTCAAGCCGAAGTTGAAAAGAAAAGCGCTCGGTACGGCTCTGAAAAGCAGAATGCCCAATACATGAAATCGCAACAACTGCCAAAATAAAGAACAAAAACACAAAACCAAATGAAAGATCAACACTAAGCGGCTTACAACACTACGGAAATAGTACGATTATAGTCAACAGCTTGAGGTGAGTGAGTGTATACCCGCCGTCGTTCTGCACCGGCCGCCTCTTTCCGGCATGCCATCTTTGGACTGCTGGGTCTAAGTTTATATATGACTTTTATGAGTGTGTATGTGTGTGACATAGATATACAATATGTTATATGAAAAATATGTGTGTGCTTGTTAGGCATTTCTGCTCAGCTCAAGCGTTTAATGCGACGTAATGCGACGCATGGGCAACTAACTAACTTGTTCAGCAAAAAATAAGCAAATAAGGCAGCAAAGCAGAATTGAGGAAAAATAAATACAAACAATACCTTATAGAAAATCATGTGTAGAAAATGCATAGGGGGCTTTGCGTAGTATTCAATCACAAAACTTTTGCTTTTCATTTCATTTCCAAGTAGAAATCTTTCATTTCGGATTAGAATTCTGCTTCACTCAAGTCCCATTTACGTTTATACCGCTCGAGAATGGTTCTCAGCTTAGTTTAAGTGTTGGAAATGGTTAATTTTAGGAAATAGGAAATGAATACAATTTAAGCCCACCCTTTAATGCTAGATTTTCTTTTCATCATGGCATTCTTACTGTGGGAAAATATTTTCCATTTTCCTATTGGTGGGCCACATGTATGTATGTATGTTTGTAAGCAATTAGAGGAAAAATAAGTGTTAGGAAAATACAGAGAGAAGCATGAAAAGTGTTATATCAGAGGTACTGCTCCAGGACTAATGCTATATAAGTAGATACTCGTATCAATATGCTTTAACGTTTTGCGGGTACTTTCTTTGAATACAAAACATTTTTAGAAATAAAAGTAATTTGTCTCTTCAGAGTCTTCAAAAATAATGTTTGGCTTTGAGGAGTCTAAGCTGAAGTTAAAAAAAATAACTATATTATATATTAGGTGTAGTTAAAAGAAAAATATTATTTTTGCAATAGATGGCGCTATTTAACTGTATCTTGCGAAGATAACATTTTGTACCAGTACCATTTTGACAGTTTTGTAATTGGTTGATTCAGTTTTGTTTGAGCATCCGTCAAAGATGGACTCTAGCAACGAGAAAATACGCTACAATTTAAGGGTTTTCTCCGATATGAGCAAAAACACAATCCGGTAGGCTGACAATGTAAATAGCATTTATGGTGCTGATATCGTTACAGTCAATCATGCACAATTTCGTTTCCGAGTTTCATTCCGGTAATTTTGATGTAAAAGATGCTTTACGGAGGGGAAGGACAATTGTCGGAAATATCGATAAAATCATGGACATTGCCGAGTCCGACTGTAGATAGATAAAATCTTTGAGTTTTAATTTTGGCTTAACCAAAAATTTATTTCAATCATATCTTTGGCCACGAAACTGAATTTCTTCTAATTCGAAAATGCAAAAATCTAGAAGTGTTTGATCCACTTATTGGCGGCTTTCTTCTTTTTTTCCTTCTGTTCCTGAGACTTGAAAATAATTTACTGAACCTTAGAAAGAAAAAACGACCAATTAAGCGCGCCGATTTTAGCGTTTCCTATTTAAATTTGTTTTTTAAAATTCTCGTGAAACGCTTTTAGTGTATATTTTCATTTTTCAATCATTTACTGTCTTTGCTTATCCCAAAATGTTCCGTCCGTTATTTCATGCTTTCATTCATAAAGAAATTTTGTTTACTCTAATTTGAATTGCTATTGTATTTTGCTTTAGTTGCCTCTAAGCGCAGGGCAAACTGTACGAATGCTATGACGAAATCTTACTTTGAAATTGAACAATGAGCTGGACGGAGAAGTCCGTTTGTCATTGATTCATTTGTGTAAACTTGCAGAAATGTGTGCAGAAAGTTTAACCTTAAAAGGAAAAGTAGTCTAACAACCTGAAATCATAATTGGAAATAAAGTTTGCTTTGTGCTACCGATGGCATGCCTAACACACGTACAGACAGATGTACAAAAATATGCATATGCCGACTGAAGCGGAGTAAAAAGAAAAGTTAAGTTCAGCAGGAAAAATAAAAGTAATGAGACAATACCGTTAGCTTAAATACATTAGAAAAGCTTTCATTGAATAGACAATTAGCCTTGTCAGAGAGAGGCGAGAGCTTGGACCAGTGAAACAAATTTCCAATATGGCCATGCATGGACTGAAATTGATGAGACTTTATTTAGTTTATTTCAAAAAAGCAATTCAATGCCTGAATGGACAGTAAATGCTGATATATTTATTAGAACTATCCAAATTCTGGAGCTTTTTCGCTTCCAGATCTGCGTGTTTCAGCGAATATTATCAGTTCAGCTTCTACTCTTCTTCTCTGGGCTATTCTAAGAAGATAATATTCTAAAAGCTGCATATTAACTGTATAAAAAATACAAAAGTTCTTGGGAATGGTTCATAAAAACTCTACCTATTCTGCCACTTCCATTTTGAATGCAACATCGCACATAGAAGAAACCACTTAATGAGCTGAGTAAATAATTTACTTGGTTCTTGGTTAATAGACTCATTCTAACAGCCAACAGATTTCTACATTCGCGTTAATTACTGGAAAAGTCAGAGATCTTGTCGAGAAAAGTTAAAAATAAACATAATAAATAAATATAGAAAAGAAAACAGAGAAGAAGAAGAAGAAGAAGAGCAGAGAGAAATACGAGTACAAGATCAATTAAGAGTAAAAACTTGCGAGCTGCAAATAACTAAAATAAATAAATGGAAAAAAACTCGATGATAAAGAAAAAGTTAAACCAAACACATAGAGATGCGTGCCTGTGTAGTTATAATACTTACGTACTTGCATATGTGTGTGTGTGTGAATGTCACAGTGAGAGGCCTTGAGGCGCACTGAAAAATGGTCAATGACCATTTCGGCCAAGTTGTCGTTGGAAATAGAAGCGAAAATAGAAATCACCGAAATTGTAACTGGCACAACAAACTAAGGAATGTACATATGTACATACACGTATGGTTATATGTATGGATATACATATGTATGTACATGTATGCAAGCACACATGTGTTGGAAGAAATAAAAGTTCTGCAGCTGAAGGCTGTTTTGACTGACTTCCAAACGCACAATTGCAAGTCTCTAACAAGTTTACTAGACAACAACAAAATTGCAACAACATCGAAAAACAACAAAGCAAAGCGAATTACAAAAAAAACTAAAATTATATGTCTTTCAAGAGAGGAATCTAACTTAGTTTCGGGTGTAAAACATTCACTTTTGAAAATAAATTTATATAAAAGCGATTAAATAATTATATATATAATTATCTGGCCGATACCTTTAAAGTCGCACGAACTTTTAGTCACTTCACTGGCTCCTTTATTTGAAGAGCGGACTCAGCGTGAAAAAATGGACTTGGGAACTTAGGAAGCTCTTATCTTGTGTTTCCATGCACTCGTTCGTGCCAATCTGTCAAAACAATTTCTCGAAAGGCATACAAGTTGCAAGCCAACAGCAACACAAAGTGAGCTACACGAAAGTTGATGGACAAACATACATACATATGTATATAAGGAAATTGTAGAAAAGTGCAAAGCAAAATATATCATACAAATTTACATACATACAAACACACAACAATAAAAACTTGTCGCACTACTTGCTCAAGCTGCTGTTGGTAAATGCGTAAGTGCGTAATTGTGTAAGTGCGCTGGTTCGTCTATTGGTATGTAAGCCGCTGAGAGCGGTGTGTGTAATTTCATTTGTTTACTTTTCCAATTAAAAGCCAGTATTCATCAGCAGTAGCAGCAGTGGCTAAAGCGTGTTTCCAAATAAGTGACCGCTTGACAGATGCTGCCGCCAACAGCAGAGAGCCTCCAAATGACCGAGAGACCAAACAACCACTCAATAACACTCACGTGCTCATTTAGAAAAGCCGTAGACGCATTGTCGTGGAAAGTCGGTAGTGAAACTGTTTGTTTGGGCAAACACTTGTCGTGCGCACGCACCGACCATGACCAAGAAGTATGGTTAAGTCGACGATTGAGTGCGCCGGATGGCAATGCTTTGTCGTTGGAAAGTGTCACAATGACGTTAAGCCGCCTATCTGCTTAATGTGTTCCAGGGCAAGCAAATAGCCACGGGCGGAGACTGGAGCTTAAAATTTAAAACACGAATATGCATATAAAAAACGTATTTCTGTTCGTATTTATGCGTAAAAAGCCTAAAGGGTCATTCCATACATAATCTATTAATACTGTTCTCATGATAATAAAAACAGACCTTGTGAGGTTGCTGAAAGAAAAAGTTTCAGATAACTGAGGATCAAACTGCTTCAAACTGTTATGTTCTTGCTGAGATTGTTGGGGTAGGATTTTCTCATGTATTCCGAAAATGGGAAGCGAAGGAGGCGTTGCTACTTCAAAGAAGTCTTAAAACAATTATTCTTCTCGAAATAAAAAAATATCAATATGCAATTGGTTTTCTGGTAACGAGTCTGCTTAACAGAGCATAGTGATATTCATGTCAGGAAATTTTTGCTTAGCAGGGTTGCGTGCTTGAACACATTCCGTCGAAACGGTTAAATATAACGTCTCCTTCAATTATATACCTTCCTTCAATAATCTAAAAAAACGCCAAACAACTTAGTCATTTATACCTTTTTAACACTATAAATAAAGAAAATACGTCTCGATGTTGCGCGTGCGCACAATCCGACTTTGGATATTTCACTCACATTTCAATACAGCGCTCTGAGGCGAAGAAATCTAGTTAAATTAAATAGAGAGGCAATAAAAAAGAAGTAGGCAAACCCAAAAGAATCGGCACAGCGAAACGAATTATTGTCAACCGGTCATTAAAATCTAAAGAAAATACAGAAATAATGAAAACCAACGCGCAAGCGACCCACAATGACCGGCTTAATCAGCAAAATTTTTAATTGAGCCAGAGAATAAGGCAAAAGGCGGAAAGCCTGCAAACGGCTGACGAGCGCGTGTTTGTGAACAGACCAGCTGGGCAACTGATTTATAGCCGTTGGCTAAGTTTAGACGAAAGTTTCTAAACAAAAACAAAAAAAAGCATAGCTTGAGTGCA